AATGGACTGCTGAGAGGAGTCAGAATGGTTGCTGGAGTTGTGTCCTGGAGAACCAGGGGACTAGTTTACAAGAGCTTACACAGTGTGTTTCTCACAGCCAAGCAAACAGAAAGTAGACGAAAAACTTCACACAGAGGAAGCATAAACCATATAATGAAGAGAGCACCAAACAGAAACATGTATAATATACAACAATTCAGACTCTAGAACATTGTAGTTGTCAAAGACGATTCAGTAAATACCTGTTTCTCATGGGAGCAGTGAATCCCAATGCATCAGAAGTCATAAACCTATCAATTGGCAGACCAGTTCCTGCTAAAGCACAAGCGCCCAATGGGCAGAAATTAATTCTTTCTCGGCAGTCTAGCAAACGGCTAGCATCACGTTCAAGCTACAATAAAACATTGCATTTGTGTTTAACAGATGTAAGCTGCATGGCTGACCTAGCATGAAAGAATCTCTCACAAACTGAACATACATAGTCCTCTCAGCCCACCAAACAACTAACAAAACAAAATGATGGAGAACAGAATAATCCAGCGGATAAACTAAGGAACAAGAACACGAGAATATGGAAATCGATGTGATCATCCAAAAATATGCAAAGACTACAATATTTCTTACAAAGGTCCTCCATGATAATTGTTTATCTGGCTTGACATACTTAATGCCCATTTGGAATAGCTTTTGCTTCTTGTAGAAGAATTTTTGGAAGAAGCTATCTTAATTTTTTTTTGGAAACTAATTTTTAAAAGAGCTTCCTACTCCGAATGTACTTTTAGAAGAAACCACATTGAACCAGCTATCCCTCAAAACTCTTCAAACTAAAAGAAGCACTTTCATAAAATTCAAAAACTTTTTTAACTAAAATAAAGGAAGCACTTTCATAAAAGTAGCCAAACCAGTCCAAAAGCAGCTTTTGGAACTTAAAATCTCCTTTTGGCTTTTCAAAAGCCATGCCAAATTCTGCTTAATATCTGTATAGGGGCATATATCAAGAACACAACATTCAGCTTAAAAATTTACTTTTGTTCATCTCATTTTAAGGATTCTATCTATATTCTGAACTTTCCTTTAGTTCGATCAGTTCCGTCTTCTCAAATTCTAGTGCAATCCTACATAATAAGACTAAATAATTAAAAAGTAACATAAATTGAAATCTAATTCTTTTTGGTTAACTAGGCAAACTCTTTCATCTCTGCAACTTCTCTTATTTTCTTGCCTGAAAGTCCTTATCATGCCACTCCTTACTTTTGATTCATCTAACGAGCATTCAACATCTAAATTTAATTTTATTTCTGAAAAGTATTGAAAGAATATTTGAATTTGAGTATTTGCTGATGCTCGGGAGTAAGGAACTTCTTAGCAACTGCTGATCTGTGATAAAACTTAATAAACAGATCCTTAAATTAATTGTAGCATTCTCCAGAGCACAAATAAATTAAGTCACCTGCTCAACATATGCTAAAAGAAGATGTTGCAATAGAACAGGTTGTGCCCTTTGCAAATGAGTATATCCAGGAACTATCAGTCCCTCATTCTTCAGAGCCAGCTTTACCAAAGCAACCTGCAGATTCAGAAACATAGAGAAAGCCATTTGGACTATTAGAAATAGGTTTACAACATTAACAAGAAACTGCAGCTCAGCAGCTGGAAATTCCTCTCTCAGTCGTACTAATAATGTATACACTCTCAAGT